ACCCTTTCACAGGGGTCACCTAAGACCATTGGAAAACACATATATAATTACATATCGTTTTTGTGATTAATCACTATGCTTTAATTATGTTCAATTTGTAACAATGAAAATACATCCTGCCTATCAGATATTTACATGATGATTCATAACAGTAGCAAAATTACAGTGATGAAGTAGCAACGAAAATAATTTTATGGTTTGGGGTCACCACAACATGAGGAACTGTATTAAAGGGTCGCGGCATGAGGAAGGTTGAGAACCACTGACTTAAAGGGACTTCCGTAAGTGAACAGATTACGTATCTTCCTGGGAAAAGTTGCTGAGCAGGCATTCATTTCAGGGGAAGTAAGTTGGGTAGGGCAGGGGAGAGCAGTCAGAGTCCCTTCTTCCTGCAAGGTGACTCTAAACACGATGACTCTCGAGGATTCCAGAGCCCCCGGGCAGAAATGCCTGCGGTCTCCCAGCCCGGGGGGGAAGGAAAGCAGTTCTAACTGCATCCTACAAGCCTTTAATAAGGCAGGGATTCTTTGCAATAAGAGAAAGGAGGCTAGCCTGGTCACAGGTGGGGCTCAGACCCCTAACATAACCTGGAAGGGAGCATGGACGTCTTCCTGGCTGCCTTCTGAGGTCTGTTCAGAGAGGGTGCCCGGGGCGGGTAGTAGCACGTCAGCATCTGTCCTTCAGTAGGAAAGGCCAAGGCTACCTCCAGGTTCTTGCCCCCAAACTCAAGAGTGGTGGCAGAATGAACGGGCAAGGCGAGCCGCACGGACCTTCCTGGGCCAAATAACGGGGGCCTCTCCTGGCTCAAACCGCAGATCCGGGCTCCTCTCAGCTGCAAGAAGAGATCTGGGGTTGCGTCCATGGGGGAGAGGGCCCGCAGGGCAGGGTCGTTCAGGAGCCGCGGCTGGGGCCGGCCAGGCAACCGGGCCCCTTCCGCAGAGTCCTGGGGAGCCAGTGCACCGCGTTGGAGGCGGTGGGGAGCGGCGACCTGCCACCCCGAGGGCCAAGCTGCTCCCCGCCCTCCTCCGGGGAGGGCCACCGGCCGGGGTGGGGAGCAGACGGAGAGGCTGGGATTTCATTGAGGTGTTTCACGTCCCAGCGGACACCCGCAGAGGCCGCTAGCCGCGAATGCCCGGCCCTTTCCTCCCAAAGAGAAAGGGGGTCCCGTGAGCGCCTTACCCGCGGTTACTCGACAGAAACGGCTGCAAGCGGAATAGAAAGTGCGGGAGCCGGGGACCCGCTCCAGCTTTGACCC